CATCCAGGCTGGAGAGCAGAGGCACAATCATAGCTCACTGTAATCTCGAACTACTGGGCTCAAGTGATCCTCCTGCCTCAGCGTTCTGAGAAGCTGGGACCATAGGCATGTGCCACCCCCTGGCTAATTAAAAAACAAAAAAATTTATTGTGGAGATGGGATCTAACCATGTTGCCCAAGCTGGTCTCAAACTCCTGGCTTCAAGTGGTCCTCCCACCTCACCCTCCCGAGTAGCTGGCATTACAAGCATGAGCGACTGCGTGCAGCCTTAGCCTCTCCTTAACATGGCATTCAAGCAAGAGCTGTCTCTAGCCTCCTCTTCTCCTCACCTGACTCTTCAGAACTCACAAATCATCTTTGAAGGTGATCAGGCCAAGGATAAAATCCTAATAAGTGGTCACTGCCACTTATTAGCTGTTTAACTTAGTGTCACAAGTTGTTTAAATCCTATAAACCTTAGTTTCTTCAACTGTAAAATGAGCATGCTGATAGTCACTTTGCAGAGATAGTTGTGTAAGTTACAAATAACACAGTTAAGCACCTGAAATATTGCAACTCCATACATAACAGTATATAATTTGCTCTTGTCACAGGTTTGCCAGATTGAGTAAATCAAAATATAGGCTGCCCATTTAAATCTGAATTTTATTTTGTTTATTTATTTATATATTTTTTTAGTTGGAGTCTCACTCCATTGCCCAGGCTGGAGTGCAGTGGCATGCACGTTCATGGCCACCCCAGCGTCAACCCACTGGGCTCAGGAGGTCCTTCCACCTTAGCCTTCTAAGTAGCTGGAACTATAGGCACGTGCTACCATGCCTGGCTAATTTGTTTATTTATTGTAGAGATGAGGTCTCACTGAGGCTGTGAGGTCTCACCCAGGCTGTTCTCGAACCCGTATGCTCAAGCAATTCTCTCACCTCAACCTCTGAAAGTGCTGGGATTACAGGCTTAAGCCACCGTGCCAGGCTTTTAATCTGAATTTTAAACAACAAATAATTTTTAAGTCTATCCTAGATATTCAAATTTAACTGGGCATCATATATATATATATATATATATATATATATTTTTTTTT